CTTAATTTTCTGACTAAAGTTGCACTTTAAGTATGTAAATATGTGATTGTGTTACCCAAACTGTGAGAGGAAGGGACACACTAATACTGCCACAGTGCAGACAGGAAACGTGCTGACAGACGAAAAGAGAAGATTGAGGAGAGGGATGACATCATTGGTGTTTTGCTGCTCCTTCACTATTAAATTGGCAGGTTGGGTGTGTTAATGACCAAGCTCGAATGCTGCTGCTATAGTGGAGGTTAAAATGTGACTGCAGTCAAAACGTTTTCTTTGTTTTGGATAGCTTGGAAAGCGATTGGAACATCTGTTAGATTTTATTGCTGTCTATATCCCTATTGGAGAGGTTTACCCTTTTTTTTGTCCTGATGACCATCATCACAAAGAATAAAGTGAAAGAAAATCTGACATTTTAAGTCAGAGAAACAAGAATAGAAGTGATATCTTTCAAATCTTACTATGGAGAAACTAGTCAACTTTCTAAGACGGAATTTCTCTCATTGCAGACAACTTCTTGTTGTGGGTTATAAGAAGTCAAGGGAAACCGCCCCAATAGCACACAGATGGCAAAAAAAACAAAACCAAAAAAAAAAATGGCAAATTATAACCCTCCTTATCTGAAAGTTTTGCCTTTAGTACTACTTTAAGGCTGAACTGTTGGTCATGGGTGCCTATATCATAAAACTGCCCATATACACAAATTACAAAGTAAATGTAACACCTATGTCTGTATTTAGATTCTTGCTTGATGTTTTTCTTTAATAATTCATATTTTCCTTGTGATTTTTATAAGCAGATACAGTATTTATAACACATGAAGAAAACATCACAACAAAATAACATTTAGTTGGTATAATAATCACATATGAGCTGTAACTAGTTTTGGTGTAGCTTCACTGATCTACTTTGTATGACTCCAGGCATGAGAACTTTGATTCATTGCCACAGTGAGCATGAACACTGGTCAGTGTTCCAGAGCAGAGGTAATTTGACTACAGAAATAAGTGAGCACTGAATATCTGGAGAAGAGAACAGACTTCTGCGATAAGCAATGAATAGTTCATTGAAGTTGGTGACTTATTTAGCGCCGATAAAGGATGTAAAGCTGTGGGACATTTCTTTTCAAAGTCATCCAACTATTGCATAACTCTGTTCACTTGTTGAAATTAGCCATTTGGGTGTTCTAGTTAAAATTATAGAAGCAGTCTAAAATGTCCTGTATAGCACTGCTGACTGTTGTTATATTATTGAACATTTATCTCTTGTGACAAATGAAGAAATTTCTTAGATATGTCCCAACCAGTTTAATTGCCTACCACAACAAAAACAGGTATTAGACTTGTTTTCTTTTTTTAAGTATGTAACTATGTAGGTATGAATGCAAAAGTGACACATGTATCATTTAGGATTAAAGTGTTACTAAACCCAGGACCCTACATCCACTATATTGCAATTATTTTAGTAAATATAAACTGCTAAATACCTTCTAGGAGGATGGATATCCCATGACCTTGGGAGAGTGATCACATGCACTCTCCCAAAAAAAAAAAAACCTCTCTAGCAATATACACCAAACTGAGCATGTGCATGCCTACGTTTCAGTCTGGAAATAAGTGGTGGTCACTTGAAAAAGGGGAGGAACAGAGAAGGAAGGATCAAACAGTCTTTTTACACAATGTAGAAGATTAACCCCTTAGGTTCCACAGTGAGTATAACAAGCATGCTTTACTGCATATACAGACTAATTTTACTGAGCTCTGAGGAAGAAGGCATGTCCTTCGAAACGCGTCAGCTGTACTGAGTGGCTTCCTCCATGATGGGATTCGCATTGGCATCTTGCCTCTAAAGTCCCTTTGAGGACTTACATGCTTGTTTTTATTCGCTGTTTGTGAGTACCATTCTTTTACTTAATAAATTTTGGTTACTGAGGTAATGCGCAAGGTTGGTGCGCTTCTTTTTGTTGTTCTTCTTCACAGTTTTGTTTGGGCTTCCCCAGCCTTGGTGTGGAGCTGCACGACCTTGTCTATTCCGGTGGTTCCTTCCTTTTTGGAGTTTGATTCCATCTACTCACCACCGGTCTGGGTCCCGGAGCGCAGGAGATATTGCATTTTGTTAAACTGAACTTTGACTGTTCCTGGCTATATTTGGTCAATATCTGATTAATGACATCACTCAGGATACTCTGCTTTTGTTTACTTTTAGTGGTGGAGTTCCTGAAGATGTCAATCACAGAAAGTCAAAGACACATTTTTTTTTTTGTATTAGGAATGTGGCAAAAACTGTGTAAGTGTCTTTATTTATTGTGAGGGTTCTGGGGTCTCCCCTATTAAAGGAGGCTTCTAGATTCCAATAGGTCCTCACCCACAGACCCCACACCCACCAGTTGTTCCCTGGTAATGTACCCCCAATGTTGAAGATATGTGGCTTGATATGGTCCAAGAGGGGAGAGGTCGCATGCACATCCCCCTTTCCCTCTTTCCTGGCCTGTCAGGCGCATGCTGGGATAAGGGTCTGGTATGTATTTTTAGGGGAAACGCCATGCCAATTTTTTTGTGTGGGGGTCTCTCAACAACATCTATATTAGACCCTTATATAGGAGTAGATGACCCTCATCTGGTATAGATAAAGGGAATCTTTGGCTGCTTCTTTAGAAATAGAGGAAGACTTCTGAGAGCTGTCATTTGCTGGCAATTTAAACATTTTTTTTTTTAATTTGTAGTTAAAGCGATACTAAAGGTTTATTTTTGTACAATAACAAACATGTCTATACTTACCTGCTTTGTGTAGTGGTTTTGCACAGAGCAGCCCAGACCCTCCTCTTATTGGGTCCCCTGCTGGTGCTCCTGGTTCCTCCTTTCTGTCGGGTACCCCATAGCAAGCAACTGCTCCCGAGCCACTGCTACATGTGTCCATTCATACAAGGAGCTGTGCCTTGGCCCCGCCCGCTCTCTCCTCATTGGCCAACTGGCTGTGATTGACAGCAGCAGGAGCCAATGGCTCCCATTTGCTGTCTGAGCCAATAAGGAGGCAGAGACACAGAACAGCAGAGGCTGTCATGCACATCGCTGGATCACTATGGAGCTCAGGTAGAATGCATGAAGGTAAAAAACCTTGATCCTTTACAACCACTTTAAATGATTTATAAATGTCAGTTGCATACATTGTACAGATGTGCCACTTCAGATCCCTTCAGGGCATCTCCCAGTCTTGTTATTTGAAAAATGTTTCCAATTTTATTGTTTCACTTTAAGCATTATTAAAATAACTGCTTTTTATTTATTTTAAATTTTGCTTTGGTACATGTTCTTCAGGGCAGTGATTAGCCCCCCATGCTAATACTTTAACAAGTCCCTGCCTATTAGTCTAGAAAATAGCCATTACCATTTTTATAACATTCAGATCCCATTGATTTCAATAGGGTTCAGGTTCAGCGCCTAAACTTTAGTCATATTCTGAAACCCGTCTTAAACCAACTTTAGCTACATCCCTATTCAGGACCATATGACTACATTCCCTTTATTTTCTCACCTTTTTGCATTAAAACCTTAGGCAAATGGATAACTACACAGTTTAAGTACATACAGTATATTAGAACTACGTTATCAGCCTAAGAATCTGTATTTTTGTCCAACTATTCCTGAGATTTACATAGCACTGGCAGATGGAGCAGCCAGGCTGGTGACCTGACCTTTCTCTACTCTAGTGCCCAGGGCAAAGATGCCAAATGGCGCCCCCCCAAAAAAAAAAAAATATGCAGGAGCATTCACTGTACTGGGGTCTGGTGTGTTTTGATGCATTTTGATGCATTTTACTGCATTCCAGTACAGTTCTGTGCATGATCAGCTTTTTCTTCTGGAACCAGAATGAACTAGAACTACAAGTATTGGTGGGAACTATGCCACTGAAGACCATGTTACCTACTTTCCATGCATTTTGGATTCAGAAAAAAGCATTGGAACATATGACGTGCAAACTAGTCCTAAAGGGTTAGTTTACCTTTACAAAAAAACTGCCAATGCAGATAAGGGTTGTCCATAGATAAAAACGAACTGTGCAGCTCTGTCGAAAAGTTGAAAAAAGACCTTGCTATAGGTGTAGGCCATTTACATACCTTCTGAAGACTAGTTGGAATACTCCCATGATTTTGCTAAGTGAGTCCTAGCTGTTACTGTTCACTTCCACCATCACAGGAGTGAGCTCTCAATCACTGAGCTCCAATCTACCCCATCAGGGGAGTGAAAGAGCATGTGAAGGGGTTTGAATCAGAGAAAGAGCTTTCTCCTGTGATGGTGGAAGAAGGCTCTGGATCAGTTAGTTTGGTTGTTTTTATCTGTCAATTGGCCCTTTTCATAGCAGAATATATAGCACATATATATATATATAGCAGCATATGTTGACCAGGCAATTAGGCAGACAGTAATGGTTGTGTTAAAATATTTAACTAGGCATCTATAATGTAAAGGAAAGGGTCACAAAATGGAAAGGGTTTTTATTAAATTCTTGAGAGGCATATAAAGGTGATCTGTCATCAACAGAGTGCTTCAACATGCAGCATTTTACTTAACAGATAAAAATAACGTATCATTGCTGAGTCTGGCAGCGTTCATATGTTACAGGGTACATGAATATGGCAAGCAGCATGAAATAGAAAATAAATTGATTTTCATTGTTTCAGTGTTCTTTTCATTCCTGTGATCTTTATATGGGGCAGTTTTTAACAGGGAACATTCACCATTTTTAGATAATTTGTCATTAGTTTCTGCAACATGGGATTGAAAGCAAATGCAGTATTTAATCTTTTTCATTGTTACATAATTATTTACTTTTGTATTATAATATGACTTTAGGCATTATCCTTTTCAGCTCATTACATGTGTGCTTTGAGATTTTCTTGATATAAATATCCACAATTGTTTGTAGGCAATTTAACCATGGTTTGGGTTTGTCTTGAACACAGTTATACATTGTCCAGTATTAAGCATGTTGTATGGTTTACTTTATAGACGATGGCCAAGATGTGTCTGACGTATCTGGTGAATCAGTTGAATAACATGGAACACTCATTTCATCATTTACTTCTCATGGAGATTAGAAACCTGACAAATACATTTAATGACGTCCTGGGCATTCCAGGAAGAGATATGTGCAGAATGAGTAACAGCCTGACTGCAATAACCAAGATTCTGAATGAACACCTGACAGACGATGCAATGCCAGTATGCAGGTAGTAGTGTATACTATCATCTGTTCAATGCCTTCGATTTTTCTTTTCTGTTTTTTTGGTATAATCACTTTTTATTATGTTTGGTACAAAACAGTAGTACAAAAAGGTACAAAGACTAGAAAAAAACAGTAATAGAAAGATAATTGCAATAGGATATAGTAACAGTGCTTCTGTAACAGTAGGCAGAGTACAACCTGTGATACCTAGGGAAAATGCTAATACATAGGAAAAATAAGTGGGTAGGGGAAATGTTTGGCTCCCCTGCACATGACATTACGCGACACACTCAAGCACCGCCTCTGCCAAACCCATCCCCCACGGGTGCCACCTGAACGCACTGTAGCAGGCACTTGGATGGTCTCATCCGGCACCGGACCGGAGCTGTGCATGTGCAGTTCTGAGCTAAGTGTCACAGCAATACTTTTAACTGGAAACCTTTTCCTGTCACTGGCATTTACTGGCAGGAGAAAAATGCCAATTTTTTACTGGCTGCCAGTAAAAGTACTGATGGTTGGCCACACTGGGTGCATAATAACCAATTAGAAGAGTCAAGGTATCAATGTGGAGTGCTAAATGGTATGTTGGTTAGATAAAAAAGGGGAAAGCACTAGGCTGGAGGCATGTGCTAGAGTAAAAACGAAAAAGAAATTCTCCTGCGCTCCAAGACTCAGACAGGTGGCACAAGACTGGAACCAGGCCTGGGGATAACACCACTGCATAAAGGGCTGTGCATCCAAACCAAGGCTGGGGAAGCCCAATCAGCACTGTAAAATGAAATAAAAAAACAAGAAGCGCACCAGCCTATTCCCCTGATGGGACTCATGTTTATCTTCAAGTCCCTGAGAGGACTTACATGCAGTGTTTCGCTGTTTGAGTGTGAGTTAGATTTTTTTCAAAAATAAATTTTGGTCGCTGAGGTAATGCGCACTGGCTGGAGTCATTCTGGATCTGCCTAGAGTACCAGTGTTAAAGTGGATAAAAATTTAAAAATGTGCTCAGTCATCTTGGATCTCCTAGGAATAGTACATCCATCTCGACCAGATGTCATTGGAAGCAATTAAGATGGTTCTTCGCAGCATGCACCCAACCTTCCGTTTCCAAGATTTTATCCACTTCTTGTTTCCAGTCAGTGATAGGCAACCTGTCTCTAATACCATGATATCAGACAATTGGCTGCTTTTAAAAGGGTGGAGGGGAGGGGTCACATTTTTCTTATGGACATCATGACATAGAAACGTCAGCAGGGAGCTCTGAAGTAACGGTTGTTTTCCTTATCCAAGGAGTAATTGCCTCCCAAAACACCCAGATCTTTGGGCAGGACCACCGAAAGGTGGAGGAAAGTTGGGGCATCCCTGACAGCAACTAGGATTGGTGCCTGGAAACATCTGGGCCAGATGAGAAGGGGTTCTGTACCACCTAGTTAAGAATTTGTAAGTAGAGGATTCCTGGATACGAGTACTAATGGAGGAATCATGAGTCAAGGGTATAATTGTTTGAAACTGGGGAGGGGAAAATTCTGTGTCCAATTCCTTCTTCCACTTTCTAATGTAATAAGTAGATGTCTGAGACTAGTACTAGCTTATACATGTATGAAAGCAGGTGTCTAGAATCAGAGGAGTGTAAGCACCTGGTTTCAACAGAAGAGAGGATGTCTGGTGGATGAAATTTAGGTTGCAGTTTACAAAAGAAATCACATAATTGACATAGCTACTATGACGACATCGGGAAGTCTTCATAAAGGGATTGCAGGGTCTCTATGGACAACTTCCCTCCAGGCATGAATTTAGCTCACAATGTATCCTTGTCCGCTCCCCTAGAACAGAAAAATTAACATCCTCCCCCAGGGAGATCCATGGAAATCCTCCTAGTGGTGTTAATTGGGAAGTCCAAGAAGCAAACGTACCATTGATATCACTGTTCAACAAATTTTTATTTTTTGCCAGTTTTGGAAACAAAAGGATCCATTTCTTAATGAATTTCACATTCTGAGTTCAAATATAACAATGAAATTTGTCAATTGGCTCTAGTTTTTCTGTAAACGGAAAGTTTTCTACTATAGGCGTAATGACTACATAATGCACAATAATTATATAGATAGATGTCTTTTCACAAATATAAAGCAAGTGATATTGACTACATAACAAAGCCTAAATGGCATAATATATTGCATAGGATTACCAAGAAAAATTATAGCCATAAGCTAAGTTGAATCATTTTAATACGTAGGATTCTCACTAGTTTTGTCTTCAGTTTGTGTCGGTTTTGCTTCTCTTGGCTTTTCTCTTGTATTCGAGGAAAGGGCTATCTCTTACAACTGCACGTGACTACACGCTTCAGGTTCTTCCTCACTTGACTCAACCACAAAGGATTCTGGTGCTTTAGGAATTGGTAGCCCCTCTCCATGAGGAACTGGACGTATTGCCGATGGAATATTTGGATAGTGCACAGATAACTTTTTCTTCTTATTTAGCCCTTTTACAATTGGAGGCACCATACAAAAGTAACAATTACTAACATGATCTGTTGGCTCTCTCCAAATCATTGGCACAGCGAAAGGCATAGATGCCTTTTTTCCATTCAACCATTGCTCCAGTGCCGTCCCACAAGAATTGCAGCATATATGTGGTGCCCAGCTCTTGTCCTGGTCTCCTATCTTGCAGCCAAGCAAATACAAGTTGTAGGTTTTCTTAATCATTCCTGTTATCCTCCTTTTTTGTGAGATAAAAGTTATTTCACCGCAGATATATCAGAAATTATCTGCTTTATTCACACAAGTTCGAGGCATTACTGAGTAGCCTATATAAGCATAAAATGAAATGTAAAGACGCTGTCGAACTACAATCAGCTACAGATACTGCAGCTTTTATGCAGTGAAGTGATGCAATTAAAGGCTAATATTGCATCATCTCAGTATACATGCAATTTTCTATTGGTCACCAGTATCAATTGCGCAATATGCAGCTGAAGTTGCATCATAATTTTGAATGGCTTACGTCATTAGATGGGTGAATATATCATGGAAACTAGAGCCAATCAACATTTTTTAGGGTCATTTTCGTTTTCAGCACCCCAAAATTATGTAAGATTAGCTAATTTTATGCCCAAAACTTTTTACCTGTTGAACAGTGATTCAGCCTATCCCATTATCCCATTCAGTATGAGTCCATTGAGTAAGTGGGGACGTCCAGTCAGAGTTCTCTTTTGCCCAATGGTATCCATGGGGCCCCTGCTAAGTTCCTGCCCACCAAGATTTTCTCCAAAAGTTTCCAAAGTTTTGTGGAGGCATCATGATGCCAGTTCAAAATTCAGACTAGAGCCATGGCTTTATAATATACCTCTATCTCTAGTAAGCCCATCCCTCTGTCCAGTTTGAGGTTAGATTTTTCTATTAAGGAGAAACTGTGCTTATTTCAGAAATCTATTATTTTACCTTGGATTACATCATAGTACTTGCTGTTGTTATGTAACTAATTTATTTGCTCAAGAATACATCATTATGTGGTATTAAAGCATTATATTATTTTTAAAATGGGTTAATTTGAGAAAAATACCATTGATTACCTGAGTTGGCCTCGGTCATATCCCTTATTTTCTTTGTAACCCAAATGTCTGGTTTTTTTTTTCATAAAAAAAATCAATAAAACATTGAACATGAAAAGCATTATACTAGCAGACTTCAGCTTATATAAGAGTTTTGATAGGTTTTGATAGGTATCTGCTCCCACTAGTTGATTCGAGCAGAAGTTGCCCCCCCCTTCCTTTGCCTGCAGCTTGCCTGGGACACATCACAGGTCCCAGAAGGCTGTGGGACCATTCACAAAGTGCAGCGCAGCTTGTGCATGCACAGTGGGAAGCCCACAGTAAACATACCAGCGCCTAGAGACCCGAAGACCAGGGAAGAGCCCACCCAGGTGAGGACAGTGCTAGATCCTTGGGCGGGTAAGTGTCCTTTTATTAAATGCCAGCAGCTGCAGTATTTGTAGATGCTGACTTATATTAATATTATCTCTCTAGGTTGAAGATCCCCTTTAAGAAACTTTTTTGAAGTCTTTATAATATTTTAGCTCCAGTTTGGGGGTGATAAACCCTGAGCTCCATAGAAGTGGTGAATGTTACAGTAAGCTAAACTCCAGTAGGCTGAAAAAATTCACCTTGCAGTGGGACTAACAAGGGTTAAATGCTTTTTTGTTTTTTATTTTAAGGCACAAGTAGCATTTTTAACCTTGCTCCCATGGGCTTATTCCCCTCTGTATGACTAGTCCCACAAAGTCACTCCTCTTCACAACTTGACTGGTCCTGGCCTCTCTGTCATCATCACGTCATCATTGCACGCACATGAGGTCAGTGAGGGCTCATCCACATGCCAGGAGCTTCAGAAAATCGTGGCTGCTTGTGGAATGAGCGATAAGGTAAGTATTACTGCCTATTCTGTTTCCCCTAAACAAAGTATTAACCCTTGCAATTAAAGTGGGCACTGAAAGCTAATTTTTTACATGGAGTTTAGTTTCAAACAATCAAGCTAGCAGATGTCAGCACTGCTTGACTCTTACTGAAAATCTGTTGAACCCTGCAATCTGCATTTGTAAAGTTCAGGCAGCATTAAAGTTATGTCCTTGACAGATGGTGATTAGGCACTGTATCACCTCCTCACTGCCTGCTTTAACCCCTTGAACCCTGCACTTGTGCTTACATATTGGACAAAGTCAGTTGGATGGGTTGCGTTAGGTGGTCTGTATGTCTGATGAAAGTGACTAGGGGTATAATTTACTCCTGGCTGCTGCCTCTGCAGTTTAAGGAGGTAATGGTCATTGGGTGTTAAAAGCATTGCTCAACCGCAGGGTCCCCCCCCAAAAAAAAAACCTGTTAGTGTGAACGAGCCTTTATGGAGCTGAATTACAAAGGCTAATAAAAAGAGAAAATGTGGTGCAGTCATACTTTGGGTTTTAAATAAAACATGGAATATAACTGTCATTAGAAAAAGCTTTATTTTGCTCTAGTTTT